ATAGCTAGATAAAATCTGTTTCTTTGCTGCTGTACTCTGGGACCTGTAAATGCAAGCTCCTCTGGCCACAAGAGCCAGAAAATCGAGTGGTATATCCTCTGGGTGGCAGCTGAAAATGCTGGGGTGTCAGACATGTGCACAAGCTGCTTTCATGGAGATACTGGTGACCTGGAGTGGGCCAGAGGAAGATTGCAGTTGGCTCTTAGATGTGTGCTAAATAAGGATCTTGACTCTCAGGATATAGGTTTAAAAATACGCAACTAGGCCTCTTTAAGCGAAAGAATGGGAAGTGGGCATTTCTCTGTGCTGAGCCTTAAGGGGATAGCCACTGGGAAACCTAACAAGCCCATTAAGAACAGTTTCTTTTTTAATTATAGTTTTGTGTGTTTCCTGGATGAATGCCCCATTGGCTTTCAGAGTTAGGTGTTTTGGGGGCTCATCCCTTAAGTAGAAATCTTAAAAGTTGATGTGCTATATGCTTGATCCAAACTCTTCACTCCTCAGGGAGAATCTGGGAGTTGTGAGTTCCCTCCCAATTGTACGTTGCTGTGCTGAGTGTGGAGTTTATGGTGAGCGTGTATCTTAGCTTTTCTTACCTATTTTGATGTAGGTATTTTTCTCATTTGCCCAGTGTTTATGAGTTGCTAAGCTAGTTTTTGGATTTCTTTCAGAGGGACTGTTCCATGTATAGCTGTAGCTTCAATGTGTGTGGGAGAAGGTTGAGTTCAGGAGCTTTTTATGTCAGCAACTTGGAACAGAACCCCAATGTTATTTTTTTCCTGAAGTTCCAAACCTTCTTCTGTTATCATTTCCTTTTAATTTGGAGTACTTTTTGTAGCTATTTTTAAGGGTAAATTTGTTGGCAACAAATTCTTTTTCTTTAATCTGAGAATGTCTTTATTTCCTTTTCATTCCTGAAGGATATTTTTGCTTGACATAGTTTGTAGTTGTCAGTTAATTTCTTTCATTACTTAAAAAATGTTGTACCATTCCTTCCTGGACTCCCTGGTTTCAGATGATATCTCTTTGGTAATTTGAATTGATGTTGACCTATGAGTAATGTACCATTGCTCTCTGGGTGCTTTTGAGATTTTTTTTTTCCTTTGTCCTTTGTTTTCAGAAATTTAATTTTGATGTGTTTTGATGGTGTGGATTGAAAGGGGCCACATGCTAACCTGACTAGCTCAGGAAAGGCCTTGCAAACTCAGAGATATAAAGTAACCACAAAGAATGGTCTGAAATTAAAACTTTTTAAATAAAAGCAGTTTATGGTGGGTAGTCATGTCCTAAGGCAGTATTTTTCTGTAACAAAGGTTAATTTTCACCTTAACTAAGCCTGTCCAGTTTGTCTTTTTGCATCTAGGATAACATACCTGATTAACATGCCTTTGCAAAAACAAAGTAATTTTCCTTTTTCTGGACCCCTCAAAGCTTGGGCACCACCCTCATTGTTGTTGTTATCATGTTAATTGTTAACTGTTAACTATCCTGCACCCACCTAAGTAAAAGAAGTACGTGTCTATCATTTTACTTTTTATCCAATCCCAGAAGGCCCCCCCCCCTTTGCTATCTCCCGCCTCCCTAATCTATCACCAATGGATTTCATGTAACCCACTTACATCTCCTCTTTTGATTGTAATGCATAAAACAAGGCACAAAACTGCCCTTCTTCAGAGCATTATCTCAATCTGTTGAGATTCTGCTTCCTGGCATTTCTTGACAGTTTGGCTCAAATAAACTCACAAAATTTATTCACAGGATTGAATGTTTCTTACATTAACAGTAGTGTGAATATATTTGGGTTTTTCTTATTTTTTATTTTCTCAGTTTTAATCTGATAGTTTGTTTTCTCCAAATTGGGACATTTTCCTTATTTCTTTGGATACTTTTTCATTCCCACTCTTTTCCATCTCTCTTTCTGGGAGCTTAATGATAGGAATATTAGCTCTTTTTTTATTGTCCCATATGTCCCTGAGACTGTTCATTTTTTTCTTTTTTTCTAATTCCTTTCTTGGGTTGATACTGGGTAAATTCTATTAATCAGTCCTTAAATTCACTGATTCTATCTTCTATGATCTCCACTCTATTATTGAGCCCATCCAGTAAGATTTTTATTTTGGTTATTGTATTTTTCAGTTATGTAGTTTCCATTTGGTTCTTTTCTAAAATTTATAGTTCTTTGCTGATATTTTAAAATATTTTTCTTTGGTTTCAAGATAACTCATAATTGCTTGTTGAAGCATTTTTTTGATAGCAGCTTAAGTACTTGTCAGATAATTCATACTTCTGATTCATCATGGAGTCTGTTAATTGTTTTTTGTCATTTAAGTTGTGATTTTCCTGGTTGTTATTATGATAAATGATTATTCTGTATTATTTTGAATATTATATTATAAGACTCTGGGTCTTATTTAATCATTTTGTTTAGTATGCAGCATCCCTCTGGAGGTATAGTACAAAGGTTGGGTAGTGTGGAAGTTCAGCTCTTATCTAGGACCCTTTGATGCTTTTCTAGAAAAAGTGGGGCAACTGTTTGTATTGCATTACTGTGAGTGCTGGTGTAAACCCAGCTTCCCACTGAGCCCTGCTGATACTATGAAGGTGGTAAATGGAGGACTAAATAATATTTCTGTGTTCCTACACGGTGGGGATGGAAGCTCAGCTCCCAGCTGGGCCTTGGCACAAGCAGGATGTTAGAGGAGTGGGGAGCTAATTAAGATAGTTTTTTTACCGTCTATATCTTTCTCTGTGATGCTGAGTAGAGATGGAGGCTAAGCTCTCCACTGACCCTTGCTGACAGCAAGTGAGGGGGGAACTGAGTACTGACTAGCCCTGCTTCCCATATCTTATTTCAGTCTCAGTGTTGGGAGGTCAAAATGTAGGTTCAGCTTCTCACTGGACCCCACTGACACAGAAGTAGAAGTAGAGTTCTACCCAGCCTGAGTAGCATTGTCTTGTTCAGTCTGTTGCTACGAGGTGGGAGTGGAGGCTCAGCTTGCCAACACTATCCCTGCAGGGGAATTAGAGTGCGACTGCCTGCTTCTGTCAGAGAGGTGTAAGAGATCATAAGCTCAGTGCTTGGCCATGCTGTCACCAGTTGTCAGGGGAATGGGAAAAGAGCACTGCCTGCTTCTGCCAGTCAGGGGATAGAAGATTAACTCCCTGCATGGTTCTGCCAAAACTGAAACCCTTGGATAGGGAAATTAAAGCATGTTTCTTGCTTCTGGGGTGAGTTGGTCATCTTCCTACTTGGCCTATTAAAATTTCAGGGGTGGGGAACAGCAGGGGTGTGTGTGGTATTGGAATAAGGTGGGTATTTAAAATATTTTCTGTTGTTAGGTTACCATTTGCCGAGTCATTTTGCTTGGAGGGAAACAGGCTTGGCTTGGAGACTTTTTCGGTATTTTCCTGTTGGGGGTTTTGAGTTGGAGGCTTCTCCCACACCCTTTTTTTT